TTATTATTATTATTATTATTTTTTGGGTGATCCAGCTGAAAAAAAGACGCGTGGTAGGGAGGGTCCACAAACTGCCCCTGGTAATGGTCCTAGAGCTGACACCAATGGAGGCCCACCTGTAAGTTCACTGCGTTTGAATTATCTCAGTCACCTTTTACTCCCCTCTGCCCCCTTTCCAGCTTAAAAGTGTTGGGTGTTGTATGAAAATTTTGTCTATCTTATGGCTCAAGTAAGTGAATCGACTATGAGAAACTCATTTGGCCAGTGTTTGGCATGTAGATCTTCCACTATATCACATTTGAATGCTTTTAATATTTTGTTTTGTGACGTGGCTGTAAATTGTATTTGTTTGACATCTGCTTCTCATCATAAATTCTTTGGTTTCCTGATAAGATAGTTCTCTTTGTATTTATGCAGTCTGCTATAGCTATTTTTTTTCTTATTACCCTTGCCCTATTCAACATTCAGTTTTGCATCAACTTGGATGCATGCCCCAAGTTCAACTGGGCTTTATCCTGCTGCTTTGTGGAAGCTGAATTTTTCAGTGACCAATCATCACTAGTTCATCTAACTCCTTTATTCTCCAGTCGTCTTTCGAAGTTTTATCCGGTAGGCAGACCACATGGAGGTTAGTGGGGTCAAACGACCCCACTCACGCTAGAAAACTAAACCGAAACATATTGTGATAAAATATCTTATTGGGATGTTTGTCTTAATGGAGCTGCACTGAGATTATGGGAAAAACTTAAGAACTGGGGTTGATTTAGTTTTCAATTAGGGAAGTTAATATGGAGTATATTGACTAGCTACCGTACATAACTTGGGTTTTGAACACTATTTATTTTTAACAGAATTGCAAAAAGAAAAGTGTGTATAAAAAAGAAATGACGTAGAGATGGTTGTTTCAATTGGTACATTGTATGTATTTCAATAAATATTAGTGCCTTATTATTATACCCATTATGTATATTATATTTGCGGTTTCTTTTATATGTAATAAGCCAAAAATTATGACCTACTTCGTCTCACCCATTCGTCCCTGCTCGAGTGCCCATCCTTGTTAGCAACCCCATCCAATATTACTCTTATCTCTCACACATGTGCGCGCACGTCACACAACTCGTCCACATGCCAACTTTGTACCACTTGAATTATGACTGCATGACACGAGCGATAATCGTCTGTTCTTTGTCAACCAATAGGCAGATTTAGCTGACCAAAATCCTTAAATGTCAATAATAATTTTTACCGTTGGTAGTCATTGGGAGTTTTCATTTCTTTCTGCAAATAAAAATTACTTTGGCGTCCTGTATCTCATCCTAAATTTCCTTCTGGGTATAACATCACATTTTTATTCTACTAATTCATTTTTGAAAAAAATTATTTGCAGACTTCATCTTGGCAAGCGAAGTCGGGTGCACAAGAAGCAGCTGCGGAGCCAAACAACATACTCTTTATACAAAATTTACCATACGAGACAACTTGTATGATGTTGGAAGTTCTTTTCAAACAATACCCTGGCTTTAGAGAAGTTCGAATGATTGAAGCAAAGCCAGGTATCGCCTTTGTAGAGTTTGATGATGATTTGCAGTCGTCAGTAGCCATGCAGGCACTTCAAGGCTTCAAAATCACTCCGCAGAATCCCATGGCCATCACCTATGCCAAAAAGTGAGCAATCTACTTTGTCAACCTAGTGCCATGTCTGTTCTGCTTATCTCGTGACGAGTAACTGCATCTGTTGAGAGAGTTTTGTATTAAGTAGATTTATGATAGTAGAAGCCGATCCTTGTCTAGTTTTATACGTACTTCTGAACATGTATGTCATGGCACCTGCCTTACTGCATATGCAGGAAAAGTAGACTGAGCTGTGCATCTACTAAAAGCAGATTGAAACTTGCTTTTGTTATTTCTAGCGAGTGTTCACTTTCTATAAGCACATTTCATGTTGCGAAGACTGTATCTTGTATACAAAAATCTGCATGTTATGCATGTTATTGTTTCTTAAAATGACGAGGCATGTTTGACTTGCAATATTGAATACTCTAGACAACGTATGAATATCTGGTTATTTTTCTCCTGTAATGTTGCTGAGCTTGGTCCATTTCACCTTGCCAAACATTTCCAAAAGTTTAATGATGTTGGTTCTGCAAGTGTTCTTGCCAAAACATCTTTAGTTTTTATTGTAATGGTTAGCGCTGATGTTGGTGAGTGATGGTGCCATTACCCCATATCTCTTTAGGCTCCTACAGGTCGAATTTATTTATCTAGAAGTTTAAACTATCATGGAAGCAACTCACGTTTAAACCATAATATCTTGCATGAAACAATGTCCCTAGAGCTCTATACTACTTTTTTTAGTAATAAATTTTGAAGATAAAAAGAATTTTTTTTCTATAGTTTTATTTTGGACAACTTTACAATGGGTTAATATGATTTTCTGAATTTCAACCATATTCTATTTTAAAAGTACGTTTACCTCTGCCTAGAAGTTATTTTTGTAAGTTCACATTTTACGTTTTTAAAAAATAAGTATTGTTAGTAAAAGAAGCAATTTTTGAAAATTACTTTGAATTTTTAACCTATAACTTATCAGCTATGCACACCCAGCAAGTTAGGACAACGGGCATGAGCCGCTAGCCTGCTCGATTCATAGGCGAGCTTGGCCAAATAAATTTGTGAGTCTTTTGCCAGCTCACAAGCCCGTCAGTGGCTTGTCGAAGCGACTGAGATATGTAATCGAATTATGCTTCTTGTACATTACTTGTTGTCGTTAAAGTTGACCAGATTTGATCTGGTACCCATTACCGGTACTAGCAATTGCACACATTTTTTGTTTTTTTCTTATCTCAAAAGCCTTTGGTCAAATTATATTTCTCATCACTGTCAAAACTGAAGATTCTTCCCCCTCCACCCGATCGCCCACCGGCCCTGCCCCCCTTATTAATACCCCACCCCAAACAATAACTCCCACCTGACAAAAGCCAACGCCCTTATTAAAATCACACCCAACCCCATGATTCTACAAATTGAAGCATTGTCTTGATTTTTTTGGGTAAAAGTTTTGCTTCTTCAGAGTTTCATCTTCCACTGTGTTTCTATCTCAGCGACTTCCACCATTTTTACAACAGATTTTTTTTTTATTTTTTTAAAATTGTTCCATAATGGCTAAAATTTTGGCTAGTATTAAAAAATTATAATTTTAGGTGGTAATTTTATCATGTATTCTAACTTAAATACTTGACAAATAATGACATGAACACTATATATATGGAGCACGAATATTTATCCAATGGATTTTTAAATTTCTTTATGTTTTTCAAGTGAGAATTCTAAATCATTATCAAGGCATGAAATGTTGACTTATATGGCATCAGAATTGGTCGAAGAGTGCGCTTTAACAAACGCTCGCAGCAACTTCCTCATGGATCAGTTTCGGAGTCTCAACATACGGGCAAAATAGATTGACGATGGAGGAGATGTCGGAATGAGTAGAAATAGAAGCCAGAGCCGCGACGAAACTCGGGTTGTTGTTGATCCAAATCCTGTTAGGACTAGAGGGTGCGGAAAGCGGCTTAAGTCAGGGAAGGAGAAAGCGATGTCTCAGCCCAACAGAAATTGTGGTGCATGTGGTCGTAATGGACACGATAGAAGAACTTGTCCCACACTTAAGTCTAGGTATTTTAAACTCGATTTACTCATTATTTTGTTGAGTGTTGTATAAATACTAATCATATTAAACTTGTCTTATCGCTTAAAGTTGTTTTTTGTGCACATTCAGGTCGCATCTCGTGGATGAGCCTTATCACACATAGTTCTCGTTTGATGAAACACATGATAATAGGTACATTAGTGTTGACAGTAGTAACTACGGTGGTTTCCATAGTTTCCCCAACGATGACTTTCCATAGGACCTGCTTCATTTTCCTCGAGTTACTTATGTGATTGTACTGAATTTATAATTATAAGTTTTTGCAAGTAGGGCCCATTTCAAATCTAAAATCGTATTACTATACTTTTCATTTTGTTAAGTTTTAATGTTCTTTTCACGTTTTTGAATGGTCAAAATAATTATCAAATAACACCTCAAGACAAATGTGATATTTTCGAGGTAAAATATGTGGTTGAAAAGTAACTAAGATAAATGTGTGTGGTTAAAAAGTGATTTTAGAAAATAGATTTATAAATTATAAAAAAGTTACCAAACAAGGTTAAGTGGACTAAAAATTAAATAAAAAGTGGCGATCATTAGAATTTAAAAAATGACGTAAAGAAGATTTTTTAAATGGAAAGTACTTCTTTTATGGATGATTGGTGGGGGGTCGAATGAGGGTAGGAAGTACTTTGATTGTCAAAAAATTTGGGAAACAAGAAAAATGACAAAAAAGGGTACAATAACTGGTACCCGTAATGGGTACCAGAGCAAATCTGTAAAGTTGACATTTCTTCTGTGTGTAGAAAATATGATCATTGATTAAAAATATGTTAAAATCAAATCAAAAAAATCTGTCAATTCACGTGATGTCAAATTTAATGTACATGTAGCATGATTGTACGTAATCTGTGGTTGCTTCGCAGCATGTTGACAAGTTCCATCAAATCAAATTCTACTATCAAGTTGGCCCCCTGAATTTAAAATTCATTATTTATTTCCTTTTTCAAACCTAAAAAAAAAAGGCATTGATTTAAAAAAAGAAAAAAAAATTACGTGATAAACAACTCGACTTGGCTCACTCCATTAATAGGCAAGCCGAGCCCAAAATTTACAAGCGAATCGGCTCGGTCCGTTACCATCAACGGAGAGTCTCATTGTCCTGCGATTCAGTAATAAATCTCCGATTCCAGATATACCCTTCTTTCCTACTTCAATTTTCAAAGCGCACCCTTCTCTTGGCGCCAATTTCCATTCTTTCAAGTTTTCAAGAATCAACATTTTTTTTACATTTCCCTCTAGATAATTTGCTTCCACAGTGAAATGCACAATGGAGATGCCCAGACCGAAGCCCTCCAACCTCCTTCTGAGCAATATTCTGGTGCGCCTCTTCTCTTTCGGTGTTCTCGTGCTCCTCGCTCGTTTGGCTTACGTCATCACCGTCAAGGGTCGATCTTGTGAATCCCTTGACTTCTGCTTCTTCCCTCAGTCCATCAAATCCAATATCGCAACGTCCACCACTATCACCTCAGCCGCCGCTGTCGTTGCTGCCGCAAACATCTCCGCCGTTCCTTCCGCCCGCCTGAAAACCTATTATTCCTCCATTTTCCTAGACCTAATTGCTCAAGGCTTCCTATCGCTAAATTCAAAATCTCTCTGTATTGGGGGCATTACAGGAGAAGAAATTATTGCGTTGAAAGAGATTGGAGTGTTCAATTCTGCTAGGATTTCGTTGAAGAAATCGTCTCGGCCGTTTATACGATTCAAGAATCAGACATTTGGTTTCGTGTTTACAAGTACCGCCGGACTGGATGAGGCGGCGAAGCCGGTGGAGTTTGCTTTGGAAGTTTACAGGATCCTAAAGCGCGGCGGTTTCTTCGTTGTCCATACGGAATCAGCCAATGATGGGTACAGTTTCGCCTCTTTGCTTCAATTATTCGATTCTTTTACAATGATTAAATCGAGCGAAGTTGATGGTTTCGATTCATCATCTCCATTGATTCATGAAATCATCTTCAAGAAGGAAAATGGGGTTTTCAGATTCAATGAAAATGAACAGTTCTTGAATGGTGATTCAGTGAGTAAATGCTCTGTTCCAAGCTATAAGCGTAAATTGATAAAAAATGCAGAGCCATTAATTAGAGAAGAGCCATTGAAACCTTGGATTACATTCAAAAGGAATATAAAGAATGTGAAATATCTGCCATCCATGGTTGATATAAGCTTTAGGAATCAATACAGGTATGTGGCCGTTGGAGCAAAGAGTTATGGTTTGAGTATTGGTAGTTGGTTTAAGAGACGGTATCCTAAACAGGATAAGCCCTTCGAAATTTATGCTATTGAGGCCAATAGTACTTTCCATGATGAGTATAGATTCAAGAAAGGGGTGACCCTTTTGCCGTATGCAGCTTGGATAAGGAACGAAACATTGTTTTTTGAGATCAAACGAGAGGCTAGTTTGACGAATGGAAAAAGGGTTCGAGGGACAGGGAGGAATCAAGCTGTGCAGTCTTCCAGTAATTTTGTGAATGTCTTCAATAAGATCCAAGGATTCGATTTTGCAGCGTGGTTGAAGAGTGTGGTGAAAGAGAGGGATTATGTGGTTGTGAAGATGGACGTGGAAGGGACGGAGTTCCATTTGGTTCCAAGATTGATTGAGACAGGAGCCATTTGTTTGATCGATGAGATGTTTCTTGAATGCCATTACAACAGATGGCAGAGATGTTGCCCAGAAAAGAGGAGTCCCAAGTATTCAAACACATATGCTCAATGCTTGGAATTGTATTCGTCTCTCCGAGAGAACGGAGTTCTTGTGCACCAGTGGTGGTGAAGGTAACGTTCTGATTGTTTTTCTTCTTGTTTATGGTAACATTCTTTGATTCTTTAGCATGTACATTTCTTTGTTGTTGTTCCATATTTTTTTCAACGTGTGCATGTACATGTACATTTTTGATTGAATGGTTGTTTTGTAAAAAATGTAAAAAAAATAAAGTTTTCATATGTTGATTGTCTACTTCTGCGACCTTGGTTGCCATAGATCTCTGATGAAATACAACAAAGAATGGATATCTCTTTGTTTTGTTTGAAATACTCGATATTTTTTAGTTGTTAGGATTTTTTAGTTGCTGAGTGCAATATATGGAAGAGGACTTGTTTGGTGTGAGGCATTGGATAGGATTTGTCACACTTCGGTGCCACTTATTATAAAATGGCATATGGCCACAAAAGAAAATTTTTGAGCGCCTCTGTTACTTTTGGGAGTCTAAACGCACAGTAACTCTCTATCCAAAATTATCGAGGGGAATTGCTGCCAGATCCCCTATGGTTTTCTCTTCTTCTCTCTCTCTCTCTCTCTCTCTCTTTTTTTGCTATTATCAAATCATAAAGGATTAAACTAATTGTATACACTTGGTGCACACTTCCAAGTGTTGTCAAAATGTGTCATTGATTGTTTAAAGAGTTGTGAAAATCAATGTGAAAAAAATGACACATCACAAGAATGTCAATGTAAAACTTAGTGTACATGTAGCTTGTTTGAATCAAAAACTACCAACGTAAAAAAATCTGGCAAAACACTTTTCTTGTACATCATGCACTTCTCTTATCATTGGATTGTAGACTCGTAGGGCCTGCACCAGATTAGAAGTCTAACTCGTATCTCATTGATGCCTACAGGCGTCCTGATGAGTCCAATGAAGCGTGTCTATTTATTATCTAGACTTCGAAATGGGAATAATTTTGAAAAAGAATCTTACGAGTTGTGCTAGGGCGATCTCTTAACGACTTCTATCATTGTTGTGGGTCACCGTAGAAATTTGGTTTTACACAAGTGCAAACCTGCTACACTCGATCTTGATGTTAATTTTTCGTATCGGCATAGGAGCTACTATTAAACGATATCAAACTATCTCATCTCATGCAGGTCGAATTTATTTTTCATGAAAAATTTAACGTGCATGCAGAATTTATTCTGCCAAACTATTTTTGAAAATATTCCTATACGATCAAATAGAAAAAATTATTTCTAAGGATGGGAGAATTGACACCAATCAATGATTTTGCTATTACATATCATTGTTGGCGAACACTAGATGGTCGTCAATCACCAGTGATGACAGGCAGTCATTGACGACCTCTAGTCTAATCCATCATCCCATCATTCGTTAGTTCGAACAACAGTATGTTCAACAAAGGTGTCGAGTGTGTGCATCCCATATGGAAATAAAACAAAACCATCCAACAAATGCAGTCTCTAGTAAGAAGGAAATGAAGGATAAACCTTCTCATGTCAATACAAGTAACATCAGCTAAAGGTGGATCTCCGCAAGGCATATGATTCGGTGGATTGGGGATTTCTAAATCAAGTGCTCGAGGGGTTATGTTTTCCTCCTAAATTCATTGGTTGGGTAATGGAATATGTTACAACTACCTCCTACTCCGTGGCTTTAAATGGAAACATCCATGGTTTCTTCAAAGGGAAAAAGGGTCTTCAGCAAGGTGATCCTCTTTCACCATTTTTGTTCGTTTTATGTATTGAATACCTCTCAAGAATGCTCAAGGTAGTTACTTATGAAAGTGACTTCAACTTCCATCCCAAATGTGGCCCGTTAAAGATTTCGCACCTAGCCTTTGCTGATATCTTATGTCCTTTGCAAGGGGTTAAAATCTTGATGGATTGCCTAAACGAATTCGGGGAGGTGTCGGGATTGAAGATGAACAACTTAAAGTCCAGCCTATTTACAACAGGTATTATAGGGCAAGAACTCGAAGAAATCCAAGCCCTCACGAATATTCCTAGACGTACTGTGCACTTTCGTTACTTGGGGATCCCTCTTGCATCGGAAAAGCTTAAAGTAAGTTGCTATGCCCCGTTTTTGGATAAAATTGCTGCCTATATTAGTTCTTGGACCTGCACCTCTCTATCATATGCGGGGAGAGCGGAATTGATTAGAGCGGTGCTTCAAAGAGTGGAATGCTTTTGGCTCTCGTTGTTGCCTATTCCAGCTACTATCATTTCTAGAACCCAAAGTCTATGCTGGACCTTTCTTTGGGGTTCTAAGAAACCCTTGGTTGGAGGGATGTGTGCCTGCCGAAAAATGAAGGGGGCTTGGGTTTTAGAGACTTAAAGTGCTGGAATTCTGCTTTACTGTCTAAGGTGCTGTGGAACATTCATAATAAAAAGGACACCCTATGGGTTCGGTGGGTGGACCAAGTCTACCTTAAGGGTGCTTGCATATGGGAGATCTCGTCACTAAAGGACCACTCACCTCTTTTCAAAAAACTGATTGAAATTAGAGATTTTTTCAAGCAGTTTTGTGCACAGGAGCAGTCCGTCCAGCCCCCTCAGGCAGCGAACCAGTTTTTCGGCCAGATCATGGTAAGTAACGGAGGTAAATTTTGTGTGACAAAAGGCTTATGAATTTTTTAGGCCTAAAGGAAACATTAGGTGTTGGACGAAGGAGGTTTGGAAGCATTTCATTACTCCAAAACACTCATTCACGCTATGGTTGGGAGCTAAGGCAAATTACTTACAAAAGATAAAACTGCTCTACTTGAATATTGAGCGCAACTTCATCTTTTGTACTTCACACGAGGAGACATGCCTCCACCTATTTTTTGATTTCTCCCTTTCTTTGAGAGTCTGGAAAAGCATAAAGGATTGATTGGGTATCACAACAGTCATGACCACCTTGGCTAGTGGATGAAGAAGGAAGCTAGAGGGACTTCATGGCACAACAAAGCTAAAAGGATTGCCTTGGCTAGCACCGTCTACTACATTTGGATGGCTAGGAATAGAATGATTTTTGAAAATTTGAGACCCCATGTATAGAGCATTGTAAAACGAATCAAAACACACACATACAAAGTTATGTTTTCTTTGTATCCTAATGTTTTGATTTGTTATGAGTCGTTAGCAATGTGATGATTTGTATCTTTACTTTTCATGTCTTGATTACTTGGGTATGCCCATAGTAATTGGTTTTCCATTGTTACTGCATTGTTGATTCACTTGGGTATGCCCAAAGTACTTGTATTATGATATTGATCAATATAATTCATTTTAAGGATCAAAAAAAAAAGTAACGTCAGCTAAAACACAAACCATAAGTTGCAATCACTTGCCCAAGTTTCTGGGGCTTGTGCCAATGTAGGTTTGGGAGGGTGGCTAAGCTTATAAGGATAGCTTGTGTAGAATGCAATAAGGTTGTATTGAGGTGACTACATGGTTGTGACATGTCAATGACTATTGCGGATGGCAGTGATCAAGGGTGAGAGACTGAGAGGAGAAGCTATTAGGGGGAGGCTGAGGAAAAACGTTGATTATTCTAGTAGGTAGTTTAAAGCTACCTGCAAGGAGCCTTGCCAGACCATCTTGGTCCTTAGAATATTTTAGGGATGACAAAAAAACCCGATAAACTTGACATCCGTGGGGTCCCGCCCCAAACGGGGCGGGGAATTTTGTCCCGAGGCGGGTTTGGGGTGGGGGCGAGTAACGGGGTCCCCACCCACCCCGTTAAAAAAAAGTTTTTTTTTTATTATTTTTTTAGAATTTAATACTTTAAATGGAAATTTTCATTAGTTCTAATAGAAAATAGCAACTAAAATTATTTATCTAAATTTAATGAATATGAGCAATAAAAATAAACTATTAAAAACTAAAAAAAAAATTTAAACGAGGAATAAACGGGGAAATGACCTACCCTCGCCCCGCCCCGCCCCCCAGGCCTCGCCTCGCTTCGTTGCCATCCTTAGAATCTTTTGAATGTAGGGCCAAACCAAGCTGGCCATATTTTTTTTTTTTTTTTAATACTTTAAAGGAAATTTTTCATTAGTTCTAATAAAAAATAGCAACTAAAATTATTTGTCGAACTCTAATGAATATGAGCAATAAAAATAAACTATTAAAAACTAAAAAAAAAATTTAAACGAGGAATAAACGGGGAAATGACCTACCCTCGCCCCGCCCCGCCTTAAACAGGTAACGGGGCGGAGACAGGACGGAGTATTTCTTAGCGGGGTCGGGAGGGCCCCCCAGGCCTCGCCTCGCTTCGTTGCCATCCTTAGAATCTTTTGAATGTAGGGCCAAACCAAGCTGGCCATATTTTTTTTTTTTTTTGAGGAAATTACATCTATTCTTATTTTTTAACTTCATTTTCTTTCAAAAATCAGGTGCACTTCACCCCCACCTCATTCCACACCCACCCACCTACAGTAGAAACCCTAACCCTAAACCCCATGCCATCTCCATATTCCCTACCCCCATGAATGCCGACTGCAACTGCCATCCACCACTTCCTCCTCTTCCTCAATACCTACCGCCTGCCACTACGTTTACTCAAACCCCAACAACAACTGCAATTGGATCGCAAAGAGGGCAAAATATGCTCTGTGCTCTGCAAATGGATAAATCACAGTTGCAACGCCAAAAAAATTATCAAATGATAGAATTCCAAAGAGGGGTAGAGCTACGATTTTGTACAAGTAATGGGTTCAATGGTGATAGAAGCGTGGTAGTGGCTGATGGGAATGGTAGCAGGAGAAGAAATGGTGGTGCAACGTCTGCGTAGCTAGTAATAGAACTCCACTGATCCAGCGAGAGTTAGGGTCACTTCACTCGGCCAGATAAAATATCAAATATTTATAACGAAGAGTCATGCTTGATGTACACTCTTTGGTGTACATCATGCATGACATTCCTCTCACAAAGGTGGGGGCCTCACAATTTAAAAAATCATGGGCTCCACACACTTTTGTGAGAGGGGTGTCAAAGTTAATGTACACAAAAGTGTACAAATGACTTTTTCCTCATAACGAAACAATACACGTCTAGTTGGATTTGAGGTGCACGTGTTTGTGGTAGTGGGTTGGAGTTGGTTGTTGTAGTTGATTTGAGGTGGCGATGACGATTTAGGTTGTGTCGATAGTGGTGGAGTGAGTGTGTGAGATAGAGTGATTGCCACAAGTTAATTGGATAATTTGTGATAGAAATGTGTGATTAAATATGTAATTATGATACACAAATTGTATTTTTGTGATTGTGATCTTATGTTATTTATGAATAGTATATGACCATGACCATAAATTGTGTATAATTATGATCGTAAACTATTTAATTAAATGATAGGGCACACAATTTTATCAGAAGTCATAAAATGTGATCACCTGATTTTTAAATTTTTTTTCTCACAAGTTCCTTATTTTTGAAATTGTATTTTGAAACATTTGTAGTTATGAAGTCCCACCCCCCAACCCCCCCCCCCCCACCCACAAACACCCACTCACTTTCTTTGATAGAAATCTGGGCATTTCAACTAGGTAAATCTCTCAACGTTTGAACAATTATTTTTATTTGATTTCATCATTACCATCGTTTAATCCATTGACTCACTACTTCAGTTCTTCCAATTTCAAACTGAACTATTGAACCAGAAAATCATTCTCGGCAAATCTGTGCAGGTAACTCATTCGAAATTAATTTTCAGTTTCGTTGGAACTCTATAATCATCGTTCTTCTCAATATAGTAATCAATGAAAAAAAAAAAGAGAGAAGAAGAAAACGAAATCTCTGAGTTTTATACCGTACTCCATCATAGTTCAATCCAATAACACAACCAATATTCATACATTTTTTCACATAGTAATCTCACTTACACCCCCCCCCCCCCCACCCACACACACACACACACATATATATATATAAATTCATTTTAATAGGTTACCCCAGTTTCTTAAAAGCAACCCATCTATTTGAACTTAAAAAAAAAAAAAAATTATAATAGGGCTGCTCGTGGCCCAAAGGTAGGGAATATAAAGATTATAATTCCATCTAAAAAAACTAACCTTATTAAGAGGAGTAACTCAAACTCTTATAAATTGATCTATATTTTTATCTTTATTTGACGTAGAATTTAAAATCATCACTTGGGTTCGGTTCAGCACGCTCAAATTGTGTGCCCAGCCCTTATTTTGCCCTGGGCCCTATAACTAGACGGCCAAGATAGGTCCCGGGCACCTTGACACTGCTATCTACTACATATGAGCAATACAACTCAAGATACAAGTTATAACATATGCGGGGGCGTAATAATCAACAGGAGGAAAGGGAAAAATAAGCACCATGGCGTATAGTAATACATTAGGTAACTAATATTTTATTTCTTCGGCAATTAAAATTTTAAGAAATTTATATACATAAATGTCAAAATGCTCGAAAGTGATCACACTATTGCCAATAACCATCTTCAATTCAAAAAACTTTTTAACTTTTTATTCCTTTTCAGTAAAACTTCAAGAAACCAACGTCAGAATCTTTGGATAAGATGAAAAAATAAGGTACAACAGTATAAATAAGCTCTGAGGACGACGTAAAACCCTCTTGAATAGCTGGCAGAAATAGAAGGATGAAAATCTAAAACTCACTTTCTATTATGATGTTTATTATGTTGCTAATTCCACATAAATCAAAAAGGGAAGAAAATAATAAAATCTGAATATACAGCTTCTTCTACGCATTCTCTTTGGCATATCTACTAGTCTCCACCACAACCTTAGTCCACTCATTTCCAATCCTCTCTGTATATGTCACCTGTAATGAGCATGACAAATAAAATGCAAAATAAAAAACTAAAGAGACTGGCATTTGAGAATCCTTCATTTTAATGTTAATTAAAACAGATTAATTTGTAGTCTACAGTATGAACATTTCAAGGATCCTAGATCAGTTTAGGAAGAGCAGACAACTCATCCAATGTTCATGTTGGACTATGAGAAAAAATAGCATGTGAAGGTAGGATAAGATCACCTAATATATTAAGCATCAAGAACATCTCACCTAGTGCAAAGCTTATTTGTCAAAATTATTACTACTGTGCAGCCACTGCCACCATTGGAATGCCAAAGCCCCAGAAAATTAGGCAAGTGCCTAAATTATCAACCACCACCACCATCACCATCATAGCACAAAAAACCACCATGACTGTAGCAAAACAACTCCCCTACAACGAGATATATCCTCACGAATCACTTCCATATTCATACTGGCATCTTGGTGAGAGAGAAGGAGATAGCCGGGTGAGTCATTGTAACGAAAGGGGCTGAGAATAGAGACAAGATAACTGGGGTTGTATAATAAGTAGATGAAAAAGTGAATAGGTTTTCTGGGACTTGAATTCATGACAGGGTGTGAAGCATCGTGATTAAAATGATGCATGAAGATTAATTGGGGTGTGATACGAGTGTGAAATTGAAATATCATAGAAGATTCTTAGCAAGAAATCACTGATACTTCCATGATTAATTGTCCATATGATTAATCATATGGGGAACTCTCTGTTACTTAATAGCCAGTCTCAAGCCAGGATTGGATAAAGGATGCGGGTGGAAAGAGATAAGCAAACCAATGCAATACCTAGTCACATCTTATGACATGAATTTCTTTAGATATTTCATGAAAAAAAAAAGGCAAAGTAAAAATTATATTGAAGAAAGAGATATCCATAAGGTTTCATGGATATTGGAATATCTCCATGAAAAGAAAATCCAGAAGGATTAGCCTTCAATATCCATCTCCAGACTCGTGGACATTGGAGATGTCAACAAAGTAATTAACTGCACCCTGGAGATTGAAAATGGCTCTTTATCTTTGCCTCCATTATCTTTTTAAGTTTTTAGCGAAATATAAATAACAAGCCTAAATTGACTGGAGCATCATGAGCGTAGAATGTCATCATTCAAGAAGATGAAGAATCATGCATAACTCGCATGAGATTAGCCCTCTCTGTACCACGGGAGGAAAACAGCACAAATCTCAGCTTTTCAATATTATATTTGCTATGCTAAGTTAACGCAGCAATCTCACATCATGAATGAGTAATAGTTTTCAGCAGCAGCAAGTGCTAGCAATATAGCTTCAAAGAGGAAAGTACCTGATTAGTAACAAATCCTTTCAACATATTAAGAAAGTCAGCCTGCCTTTCGCTATCTAGCCTTTTCATTTCACTTCTATTATTTTCCTGCAATCACACTATTAACCCATTAGTATTTTCCCCCTACATCAATATGAATCAATCTACCGAACATAACCAGAGACAAAACTGAGTTGCGCATCAATAGCAAAAACAGTGATTGACAGTAGTTTTCTCCATATTCTAAATATGCAAGGAAAAAGATGATGGATAAAGGCAGGAGGGGGAAGAGAAGAGGGAGGAAGTTCTAGTGCATCTTTATCTCCCTTCCCTCCATATCGAATTCAACCTAATGCTACCAGAAGTGCAAAACAAAAGAAACAAGCAGATAGGTTTCATAAATTTCCAAAGTCATGTCATGGGAACACACATTGCTAAAAAGACTATTTGAGGCGTAATGGAGGAAGTTCTAGTGCATCTTTGTCTCCCTTCCCTCCATATCGAATTCAACCTAATGCACCCAGTGGTGCAAAACAAAAGAAAAAAGCAGAAAGGTTTCTTAAATTTCCAGAGTCATGTCATGGGAACACACATTGCTAAAATGACTACTTGAGGCTTACGCCTTAAATCCACCCTCATGTGGGGCTTTTATAAAACGCCTTAAATGCCATTTGTGCGGCTTATGGCCTGATTTATTGAGGCTTATGCATAAAGCTGAACTAAGGCGTACGCCAGTTTGTCTTGCATTTTCAGACATTTAATGGCTTAACTTTTTGGACCATTTTTATAACCTAGAATATTTTACGATTTTTTTTTTAATTTTTTTTTCGCTGTCTATACGTGGAAAGGAAATTGGATGACACATTGCAAGTGGAGGATGATGACAAAGAACAAGAAAAACTAATAATGACATGGAAGAGGCTGATAGGGGAATCGACTATGGTGATGATTCTAAAGATTCTATTAAGTAGCGATAACTTTGTTACTTAACTAATTTGAGAACTTACTATGAGCCTATTTGAGTCTCATTTTTATTGAATAATGCATTTTGAAATAGTTGATTGATGTAGAATGTTTGGTCAAAAACTAAGCAAAATTGTTAGGTTTGCGTATAATATTATTTTATTGAAGAATGTGTGATTGAAAAGAAGAGACAAAAAGAGGAATTTTGGAAATAATGGGAGTCAAACAAGGGCTATTTGTTATTTTATTGATCCGTTTTATGTTTTTGGCAAGTTAGACTTTTAACTTTGTTAATTTGTTAAATTATAGACTTTCTAAGATGATTTATGGTTTATTATCAGCATTTTTTAAAAAAAATTTATATTCTTTAAGAGGCTTACGTCTTGGTACCCAACTAAACACTTTAAAACATTGGGAGCACATTTTGCATCCCAAAGTAACATTCCTTCTTGTTAATTCTTATAGTGAAAACCAAAGTTCTTTCACAAACCATGATCTTTATAAATTAAGCAGCATAATAAAGTTCTATAGCTGATCGGACATTCATATTTTTGCTTTTGCGTGGATAAATGATCATTAGATAAGCACTCAAGAACAAAGGTTAACATATGCTAAATTTGTTAATTGCTAAAGCATTGCAGTTTCTGAAATTGCAATGTAATCATTTAGCAACCAAGAAGAAATGGAATAGTCATTCAGGGTTTAAGATACTCGAGAACGATACAGACGTACACAAGGTAAATAGTAGCAAATAGCATTCACCAAAGAAACTGATATGTTCAAAGAATCTAGTCCAAGTTTCTGTCAGCTATAGTCTGATATTTCATACCTGGATTCGTTCGTAATCTCTGATTGCAAGGCTTTTAGCATCCTCTGTGACCCTAATGGATTCTTTTAGCTCTTCTAATTTGTGAGTCCTAGAGTTGTCACCAACAAAAGTTTTGGATGATGCAGATTCGTGTTTTGAATTCAAGGAAGACAGTTCTGATGTAAGAGTTTGTATTGTCAACAAAGCACTAGAACGATCAGAGAATGCACTATGTACAGCTAAAATCTGCCCCATATAATCATGCAATGTATCCTGAAATACACAAAGTGATCTGTTAGCATGTTAGTGAAAGGAGTATCTTCTTCCATAAATATAAAAGCCAATGTTTCAAAGATTATCGCCAGAATCTAGAAATAAGTTTTAACCCTTTACACAATAAACATTTCATTAAAAGTAAAGAAAAACTGCGATCCCCTGTCAATAATGGCATACATTATCTTGTTATATG